GCAAGTTTTCTAGACTTATTCTATTAGTTGCATACTTTTTTGTTAATATATATTTAGGTTGCTTTTCAAGGCCTTTTCCTTTTTTAATTTTGACCAATTTTTCTATATATTGCTACTTGTCTGGGGTTCTATTAAATTGCTGTGTTAAATTCACTTGATTTTGACTTGGTAAAAAACAGTGACGGTTATTTTGTCGAAAAAAGGTGTATATTATAGGCTAGGAATTTATTGTATACATAGTGAAAATCTGAAAGAGAAGGAATAGCTGAAACAAGTGGCATTTCTAGAGGTTGTGTAATTTGGTACTGCCTCGATGCAAAAATCTAGGGACTCATCAATTTCAATGCCAAAGACTTGGATACTTAGTCGAAATTGCAGTAGTATCAAACCTCATCAGGAGCTGCATCATAGGCAACTTCAACGGCGGTCTCGAACACGATTTAGACAAAAGTATAGTTCTCGTGTTTATCGTACGGTTTCGTGTACCGATGTTTCTGAGTTTGAACCCATGCACGAAGTGAGAACATCTAAACCCAATAACACCGCACATGGCAGCATTGACAAGACTGTACTACTGTGTGGTTCTTATCCGTATTTGACTGCGCTTTCGGACTCCTTTTTGTCTTCTTCGTTGGCGACGCCAGGGAGAAGCGCGATTAGCATGGGAGAACCCTCAACTCAGAGTGGGGCGCGCAGTAAAGCCGCCTCTGCCTCTTTGCGTGATGAAATCCACCGAAAAGTGGGGAGTCCGAAGCAGCGAGAATTAGGTCTTGAGCGTCGCGTCGTCTCGGAGTTCGACCCCTCCCACATCCCGAAATGCGTCATGGAGTGTTCGGACGGCCAACAGCAGATGAACTGCTCGAGTAAACCTCAAACCTGCTTCGAAGTCGCCTCGACCACCTTCCTCACAGCGTCGAACATTTCAGGCAGCGAAGAGGCCACCCGGAGGCCCATTAGATCTTCTTTTAGTTCTTTCTTTCCAAGACAACGGCGGATGCCTCTCATGAACGGGGCCAGCACGATGGTGCTGAAGAGAAATCGAAGGTCGAGACTTCATAAAAAGCATGAAAAGAACCCACGGCATGACCCTACTGGGTCCCAACTTAGAGGAGATGCCTCAATTAGCAAGCATTCTTCCCTTTCGCACAGCTTCCCCTATTTAGTGTCTAATCCGTCAAGTTCACTTTCCGAGAACCGTCTTGCTTCTTCAGATATAGGGTATGGCGACGTATCTGCAGGAACCCTAGAAGATCTTCCACTGAATCGGGATCTGTTTATCAGCGAATCCTCAAATTTTTCAACATTTAAGAGCTTAATGCAGAGGCTAAGTATGAATGACATTGGAACAGCAAAGGAAGAGGGGTCAATGAACTCACCAAACGCCTCTATGGAGCGCAAAAAGGGAGGAGCCAGCATGGTTTCTTTTAGTACCAATGATTCTCATCCGTTCAAGAGTAATGTGGAATCTGATCAGCAGAAATATCAAATGAGGGAACTAATTTTTGGCGATAGCTTGGGATCCCCTACGATGTCAAAGATGTCATTACATGACCATTTTATGACGTCCAGTTCGCCTTTAAAGCACTCTGTTGATGTTGCCTTACAATCGTTACCAGAAGCTACTGGTTTGACGGAGAGAGACACCGCAGAAAGTGTTGATATAGAAAAGGGTGAAAAAGATATGGAGTTGCCGATGAAGCGGTCAACTTTTCAAAAGTCCGAATTAAATTCTGAAAATGCTGACATGAAAGAGGTTTTACACTCTAATAGACGCTTGCCTAATGGACGTGTTTTACACAACGGACCCCATGAAAATTTATTCATCGCTTTGCCGTGCAGCCCGTATATCCATCGCGATCGGCGCATGGGAAAACCAGACTTCAACGTGCCGCCGAGGTGTCATGAGTTTTATTTTTCATCACAACGACAAATGCGCGCCCCTGTTGACGGGTGCGGTACACGCTCCCCCTTTGCGTATTCATCCTTTATTGGTTGCAGTCTTTCCAGGACGTCTAGCAGTGTTTTCACTGAAGAATTGAATTCGAATCGAATCGATATTTCTAGTAGTGGCTTCTCCAATTGTAATAAACACAACCTGAGTGGAGCCATGAATGGCAAAGATGGACTCTCCGATGAGCTTTTATTTCCCCCTATATTACGGCATAAGCTTGAGTTGTTTACAGCAGCTGAGGTCATTCCAGGGCTATTTCTCGGGGCGGCTTCAGACGCCGCCAACATGGAGGCGCTATCCTACCACAAAATTTCGCTCATTATTAATGTCACCTATGAGTGTACCGTCGAACCCACAACAGAGTATGAGAAGAATGGGATCCGAATTTTGCGCTTCCCCCTTGTTGACCACTCGGACGAGCTGATAAGCCCCCTCTTCCTCCCTCTCGCGCGCATCATTCACGAGCAGCTCCACCGCCGAGAGGTGTTTCTTTCCTACAAAGACTCCAGCAGGCCCTGCAAGGGGGGGGAGCCGAAGGCCCTTCCCGGGCGTCTTTTTCAGAGTATTGGCGATCTGACGCCCCTGCTGAC